TTTCACCTCATCACTCGAGAGACACAATTTTAACGTCTTGACTCAACGAAGTCAAAATGCATACTGAACCAAATTTTTAGTTTATAGTCATTTCGGACTGAATAATTTTGATTTGATATGAAAGTTACCGAAGAGAAAATATTTAATCTTTCATATCATGTATTAGCTTTAACTTTTTTTACCTGCCTGAATGATCAAAATCAAGTAACATTATGTAGCGTGTATAACCAACTCGACTCAACCCCCCCTTCAATCTCTCGTCTATCCTTCGAGAGACCAATCTGGACTGATATCGCACGCCATACAGCGATGGGAATAGAGCGCTGATCACAGACGGAGCATTGGTTGTTCGAGCTATTTTATACACGTATCATAGCTGTAACAAGCAGACTAATTGCACTATATTCGCCAAACAGCCAGCGAGTAATAGTGGCGGGTCAGAGACCACATTGACACTCTGCTTGCGCTAATGTTACAATAAACACCATTCAGGCAAAATATACAGACTTTTATCTACTTACTTTGCCTTGTTAGCAGAAATGTGATTTCACCTCATCACATAAGAGACAAAATTTTTAAGATAGCTGAGTCTACAGCGACGATGTTAACACATCGAATGCTAAACGTAGACTGAACTGAAATCTAAACGTCTGAGGTTATATAACAACAAAAATAATGAAAATTTTCAGAAATTAGTTTTTCTGCTTGTGGTCATCATACCAATTTTTTTATGTGTTCCCATCATATATTTGTTGATATATCAAATTCAACATTTTTTTTCAATGCAAAACGAACATTCTTAAACTAAATTGAAAATGTTTACTTGTTTTGTTTTTATATTCAGTGATAATTGCAAAAGATAAAACAGCATTTCAACCGAAATACAAATACAAGTTGATTGAAGTGCTTTTTTTTCTCAATTTATAAAAACTTTACAGTAATACAAGTTGATAGAAAATAGAAATAGTAGATTCGATCAATTCAAAGTTAAAGTGATAAGAAGATATTTCTGTCAAGAAGCTGCTTGGAATTGAAATATCATGATTGCATATAAACATTTGACAAATAAATACAACAGCAACATTTCAGAAATGAAACCAATAATAAACTAGAAACACATATTCGCATTTATACATTTTAAAAAATTTTTCGGGTGGGAGGAAGAAAATTTTAAAAAGACCGTGATTTAATTTCAATTTTTTGTAAAAACTAGAAAAGGGAAAAAGGTTGAACAGAGTCAAAGGTTTTGTTAATTTTCCCAAATTTCAGTAATCGATTTCTCTTTTTTTTCAAAAAAATTTAAAAAATGAAAAAAATGACCCTTTTTGATCAAAAAGTTTTAAAAAAAAAAAATCTTTTTTTGTATTTGTCCAATTTTTTTTTTTAACCATTAATTTTTCAAACAACCCCAAAAAATGTCAAAAAATTGTCTTGGTTTGGGCTAAATGCCCTTTTTTGGTTTAAATCCGGGAAAAAGAACTCCCAAAAGTTCCAAACCCGCAAAAAGGGGTTTTTACTAAAATAGAGACAAAACCCCAAAAAAACCACGAATTTCCCGCAGTTTTGGTTTTTGGTTTTGGGTGGGAAATTTCCGACTATTTTGATATATTTGCAATTAGGCGACCACTTATAGTGTTCTCTCAAAGCGTTGTCTGATCTCAACCAGGCGCTCAATTTAACGTGACATCTGAAACACTCGCAAACATCTGATTTTCCGCTGTAGTACAATCCAGCACTCGGCAGTTCGTATTTGTCTGGCAACATTTGTTTGGGATATGTGTCAAACGTCGTCAGTCTATTTTCGTAATATTCCATATTTCTGTTAAAGTCAGTCAGTGATGTTCTGCAATCAGTGACGTTCATCTTGTTTATGCCGAAGCTTCGTTAGGATTTTTCTTTTTATAAAAAAATCAACAACGATTGTTAACTTAATAAAACAATAAACTGTCAAAATCAACATGAGTAACAAATATGATCGAAATTGAACAAAAAATGTTTACCTATTGTTTCATAAATATTCATCAGTGCATCACTGTCAACAGTTGAATTGCTGAAATTACACAACGCAAATTCATAGTCTAAATATCAAGTAATGATCGACATGCATTTCCCTCAAGATAAACATTTTTTGCAGTAACAAAGGTTATAGTAACTTACGCTAACATTTTTTGCCGAGATGAAATAAAAGTAGATTAAATCTTTCTATTTACAATACATATTTTTTGCATTTTGCACTTTATGATATCTACCACATTAGATCTATCACTACTGATTAAAAATTGAAGAGGAAATATATAAATAAATATTGTAGATCATTTTCACTGTCAAGTTAATTTGCAATAAGCAATAAGCGGTTTTTTTTTTCAAGCAAAAATATTTTCAAAAAGCCACGGTCAAAATAGATATAGATCTAGAATCTACCAACACTTTATCAGTAAACAAATTTTGGACGAAAAAAAATCGTAGACCAATGTTAATCTACTAGATTATCTACTAAATCTATTCAGTGATAAATTTACCATTTTATTTCAATTCAAAATTGTGTTCATTTCTCAAGTATAGTTTATGATTGATCATTCCATCAAAAGTAAAATAAAATCGGGTTTGCATTTCAATTCGCTGACAAATAAACACGAAGAAAAAAATACCATCATTCTCGATACACAAAAGCGAACAGATTTTTTTTCCTCTTGAAAACATGAAATGTTTGCACCGAATAGCATTTCAAAACATCCACTGTTCTACATTAACAATTGAACATTTGATATTTTTCCTACTTTGTAGTAAAGAATTTTTCTATCTGAAATATCGTTTGGAGAAATAAACCAAGAGAACATTTTTTTCTTTCAATCTAGAATAAAAAATCTAAAGTGAAGTTTATTCTCAATATTTTTTCAGACATGTCCAATAAAAAATTGATCTAAATCCATTTTTTTTACAGGCAAAATATTAACATCATATTGAATGTATATTTTACAAAAAAATAAATCTAGATCTAACAAAACATTTCGCTAAAATATTTTAAATCGCTATTCAACTGACTTTCTGTATTCCGTAAATTTGACAAATAATTGTGTCTATCTACTAAAATATTCACACCATATTAAGTCTACATTTAACAAAAAATAAATCAAACAAAACAGTTCGCTAAAATATCTTAAATCGCTATTCAACTGTACTCTGTAAACTTGAAAAATAAACTTGTCTATCCTGCCTATCAATAAGAAAATATCCATCTTGTTTATATGCTTTAAAAAAATATTAACCCAACATTACATCGTCAAAAGATTCAATTTGAAATTCAACATAAGACTCATGATGATAGATCTAGAAAAATAAAATCAAAATCCAACAACATCAATCTCACGAAGTAATCTAAACTTCAATCTCTCGAAAAAAATTGCATTTTCAGACATAAAATACATTGATATTCTTTTAAAAAATTCGCCAGAGTGAAAAGTATAAACAAATGTCACATACCTCATAAAAATTGAGTAAATATCCAGTAATTATCCACCTTAAATTAAATTTTTTCACACAGCAATTTCCAACACGGCCGAACATTTTAGAAGACCCGTTTGAACGTTTTCCTATTCGAAGCTATATTGATGACGTAGTATTGATGACGTCACATTATAATTATTTTCTTAGAACTATCAAAGGCGAGCTAATTAGCGCCATATTAGTCGATAGATATATATATTGAGTATTCATGTAAACAATCTGTAATGACTTAGACAATAAAAAAAAAGGCAAATTAAATAAAAAATGGAGAAAATACCGACTTTGCGTATTACTGTAGTACAGTAATTATAACCTGCAGTAAATACTGCAAAAAAATCTGAATAAAAACAGAAAAAACGACCTTTTTCACATACATTTTACGTTTATGAAGGGTTTATTCATTTTCTGAATATTACATATCACATATTGTCCAACATTGTACTGTCATTCCATAAAATTATTGTAAATAAACTTATTCAGTACGGGTTTTGATAGCACCGGATTGTATCCCCTTGATTATCAAGCGTCGTTTGTTTGACTTTGTTATTGTGAGAAATGCAGAAATGAAAACGTTTATTTTCAACGGATTTTCGGGGCGTTTCAAGAAATATAAAAGGTAAGTAAATTTGTTAGATCAATAAATATTGGATCATAAACAATTTTCAAGCTTTCTCTATATAAAGTCCGTTTTATTGTTTCATGAAACTGTGCAAAAGTTGTTGCAAAAAAAAAAAAATGAAACAAAAGCTTTTGGGTCTGCGCCTTTAAAGATACAACAGTTTAAATTTTTCACTTTTAAAATTTGAAATAATTACAATCAATATTGTTCCCGAAAACCAAAAGAAAATTGGTTTTTTGCAAAAATTGCCAGGGTTTCTTGAAAAGACTATTTTTAAAAATTTTTCAAAATGAAAATTTTTCTGTTAAAAAAAAATTGCAAGCTGGGATGATTAATTAAAAAATGCTCTATCATTGAAAGGTTTTCCTTACTTTTTATCACTTTCTGTAGAGTTGTTTAAAGAATAAAAAATGAAACATATTCTGTCATTTGTGTTTTAAAAAAAGAGTAAAAAACTAATTTTCAAAAAATAAAAGGGGTCAGGAAATGAAAATATATGGGAAAATTTTTTTCCCCCAAAAAGGGAAAAATATTCAAAGGGAAAACACACCCCGTAACTAGTCTACCTGACTTAAAGCACAGGAAGATTAAACTTCTTTACAAAAATCAAGTGACTCTTCTATTTAAATTTCTGAAAAACAAAAACAATTTCAAAATTTTAATTTTACATTAAAACAGGTCCCTAAACTCGAAATTTTCACAATTGTGTGGTTTTTTATTTCCATATGGGGAAACTGAAAAGGTTTAATTTTTCTTTTGACCCCCAAAGTCAGTGAAAAAGCAAAAATTTTTTCTCCCTTTAACTCATGGGCTGGGGAAATTTTTAAAAACCCATTTCAGAAAGTCAGTTGGTGCAGTGAAGTCAAAGGGGGCAAAGAATGAAAAAAGACAACACAGTAATCAGGTAAAATACTTTTTTTTTAAATAAATTGATAAGTATTTTGGTCATTTATTTGCTAAACTTGACATGTTCACTCTGGAAAATGAAAATTTATATGTGTTTGAACATGCTAAGATAAAATTGTAGGTGATTTTCAAAATTATAAGACAAAGTACAAAGGCACACTTAACATTTAATGTCAATATTTTCTTTTTCAGATTGGAATCTTCTGTAGTATTGAGAGTGGATTTTTTTTAACAATGGACCAGACCTCATGACAAATGTACAGCTGATGGTAATAACAAAGGTTCTCATTGTGCTGCTATTTTATCCAACAGTATTTGACTGTTATGATAAGTTTTGAATATTTTTCACCATACTTGAATTACATCATCCAATTTGACACACACCTGTAGATTGTTCTTGCTTCTTTCACATTATTTGACAAAGTAAACAAAAACAGGAAATTGACTGAAATTTTCATTTTCATCAATCTGGAGAACTTAAATATGTTTTTCACCATGTATCAATATTAATCTTAGCTGAATTGTTGGTCAAAAGAAGATCTATAAGCCTATTTTTGACAAATAGGTGAACACAATCTTTATATGACATGCAATATTGTATGTTGAAAATATATTTATCATTGTTAGGCATTTATTTCATTCATTCTTCCAACCAGATAGTGTCAAACATAAATTTATATGCTTGTTTTGTACAATAAACTGGATGTTAATCAATGAAATCACTGAATAGTAAAAAAAATGTGTTCCCTGAGTGACAAACAATCTTGCCTATGTAAGAAAAGTCATTTTCAGGAGCATATATGGTAAAACAAACTATTCCGCAATCCTATTTTGTCTTTTTTATTTGCTAAAGAACACATATTTTCTTTAATCAAATAAAAATGCATATCATCTTTAAATATTAGTTCATTTCTATACTGTTTCATGAGTTTTGAAGCAAATATCCATTTTCATTGAGACAAAAAATCTGAAGTACTGCTGTTTTTCTTCAAAATCTTTGATTAAATGTATGAAATAAAGTAGTCAGAATCATATATTTCTTTCAGACCTTGTTCCAAGTCAGATTCACATAGCTGAGCATTAAAGTGTTGCCTTGTTTTCATTCAAGAGGTCACAGTTGCTCCATTGATGTGCATAGCTTATTGTCACATATCAGTTATGGTAAGTTGTTTTCAGTTAATATGAGAATTTAACATCATTTACATCATGTTTATATCTCAACCTTTTTGTTTTCCCTTGGTGGTAAGTTGTATACTTTATATTTCACTATTTTATCATCAATATGATGTTTACAAATCAATTAATTTGAACTACAGATATATTTCATATGTTTTATTTGTTTGAAGTGCTTATTTGATTATGTGCATTTTATTGATATACTTGTTATACTTTGACTCAATGTCAGTCCATTTTACATTCTGTAATCTTATTCATTTTGTGAAAAGCATATAAAATACTGGATTTATTTCATCACAGATAAATAGCTAAATTGTTAAATGATTTACATATATTTTTTTTCATTTTATATTTTCAATGATTTCTCTTTTTTGTTTTCAGGTTGAAAAGGACAGTAAAAATTGTGGGAAAAGTATTGGTGATTAAGAAATAAAAATTCACACGCAAAAAATATCCAGATATTGTCAGAAAGCATAAGATGTTGGGATGAAGTGTAACTTTAAGAGAATGAAATAAAATTCATGTCTTCAATTTTGCATTTTTTATTGTTTATTTCAAACATGTATGTATGCACAAAAAAGGATTTATATCCTAAAACACCCCGGCCCAAACAAGGCGGGGGGTCTAAAAAAGAGGTGCCCCCCTAAATATTATCATCAGATTTTTTTACATATCAACTATATACCATCCACCAGTACTGGAAAAATATTGAACTTGAAAAAAATGCGTTTACGTAATGACTTTGCAATTTTGACTTAATATACTGACCTAGTGGCATTCGACCGATTTGGCGAGTTCAACCCCTTGTCTATATATAATATATATATACAGTATATTTTTTTCTAGAATTACTTTTTTACACTATCCCAACACTGTGCTGGGTCCTTGTAATTTTAACCAGATTGAAAATTTGACAAATCCATTCAAATAAATTCTGTGTTGTCATGAGCTAAATGTTTACTTGTTTGCTGCGATGCATCCATCGTTACAGTTTGAAGTGGCACCTGATACAAGATAATTGGGATTACATACCGGTATTATTGTTATGATAAAAATTTACTTGGGTGCAAATATGTTGTAGTCAGTGCTATTTTATGTCACATGTACTTTTAGTGAAATACTTGTTTTGCTTTATTATAAAGTCCAAAAGTACCATTTTAGGAACAATACGTTAAGACATAATTCGTCTGTTTTCGTTGCTGATTAGACATTGCATTAGTTTGAAGGTTCATCTTTACAGCAGTATAAGTTGCAAAGATCTAATAAAAGGAGAAGGGCCACCAAAAGCCTGCATGGCATGGTCGATTTTTTTTTTATAAAGAATAGGTTTTTATGTTTATTTCTGAAAGTCGGAAAACAGAATATTGAAAGAAAGAGAAGTGGCTTTAATTGTAAACAATATATTTTATAATATAAAAAAACCATATAAGATCCCTGCAGAAAGTTGATTAAAGTATAATTGCAATGCACGTGTTTGATAACATATATCTCACAGACATGTCTTTACTATAGGATATAAATAATTATTATTTTCCTTAGGCAAGAAATAATCTTTAAAGATTGCTTTAAAATACTACTTTCCACCTTTCATTGATATCTTTCAAGTTTCAATTCGTTAAAAAAACAAAGGTCGTGGTTCAATGATTTTGGACAAAGTTATTTCTCTTGAATGTTCAGTTTCAGCATTCATATTTTTGTTGACATGTATGTAAGTCATTATTTTAGTTACAAATATGCAATATACAATTTACAAAAAATAATTTCAGTGCCTACAATTTTGTATAAATATGGACTGTGTTTACATTGAATTGTTTTAAGGGCTTTGAATTTCAAATGAAAAATATTATTTGTGCAAACAAATTTGGAACTAAATATTTTAACATCTGAAATTATGGATGCATGCGCGGACATCCATGGCGTGACGACACATTTCTAGTTTAAAATAATTGAATGAGAAGAAAACAAATATTTACTTGATAACATGTATTTGAAATACATGGATACCCGTACACTATTGCTTTTTCGACCATGAACAATTCGTAATTTGAAGTTTAATATCTCATATTTATTTCAATTTAACTTGGGATAAAGTTTTTTATGTAAATGACCAGTTTGGATTTGTCTAGAATTTTTGTGGATACTGCCATGTAATTTACGCATTTAAATATCCTGAGACAGAAAAATGTTGACGCATTCAAATTATATCGACCTGCTATGTAAATTTCATACTTGTGTTATTGAGGCAACTTTGTGATTTTCTGAGTAATATATTAATTTGATATAATGTTGTTCAATATTTTACAACATTGAACATGTTAAGGGATTTTAGTGTCTACCGTTTAACACATGAATCATCATAAATGTGTTATAATTTCATTGAAAACAGAAGTGTTTTTCTAACTTTAAGTTTAAGATGAAAACTCATTCAATTATTTAAGATATTTCCTTTCCATAAATTCAAGACGATATAATTCATCACGTACAGACCACCTTGTCAAATATCTTAAATTCATGTCATTGAAGAAAGACTAATTATTATATAAACTTTGTTCGGGACCTCTTATCAGTGCAGTGCTAAATTAAGTGCCACAAGTATTTCTTATGACTGTTACGATTTAATTATGATAAGTAGAAATATAGAGGTTTATGTATTCTTGTCAGTTCAGCGGTGATAGCCGTGATCGTATAGTGGTTAGTACTTCGCGTTGTGGCCGCGACAACCCAGGTTCGAATCCTGGTCACGGCATTAACTGTGACAGTCGCTGTTTCGGCACAGCTGAACATTTTGTCAAAATATCTAGATATTCATGCAAGCAAGCATAGATTTCTTAATATAAATACAGTACGATTGAATATGAATTAAAGTGCATGTAATTATTGTTCTTTTAAAAACAGTTATATTTAATATAATAAACTATAATTTAAACATATTTAAACAAGTCATTATATTCTATGTTCATGTAAACTTGTTGATAAATTATTTTAAGTGAAAGTGAAATCTCAATGTTTGTTCCTATTTACTGTTAAGTTCTTTTATATTGAACATTTACAAAAAGAAAAAGAAAAAAAGAAATAGCGAAAATGCATTTGAAATTAACGTTTGAAACAATTACCAAGTTATATCACTCTTTCAGCTATACTTCATTAAAGTAAAATTGCGTTATTTTCTGTTTTTTAGTTTAATGCCATAGATGTATATCATTTCCCCTCAAGAGGATAAGTTAAACAACAAGTCTTTTGTATGTGTAATAAAGCTTGAACAATTATAATTATCAGACATGCATATCAATTTCAATATCCTTTGACGATATACAATTTTGAAGACTTTTAAGATATAACTATTCTATAAACATAAACAAATCTTAAAACATTTACTACAGATCACGAATCGTGATAATTCAAATAATTTACATTGTAAATGACAATAGCTTGGAACAATTGAATTAAATCGCAGATGCGTAACACATTTTATCTAAAAAAAACAACAACAACAATTTAAGTTTGATAATGCACAATGCTGGGGAAGTCCGAGAATAAATCATTAGCATAAATACTACAGAACGCTGCTTGTCTATATACAGCATTTCACTAACACTCCTATGCATGCATATGAACATAAATTAAACATGTTAAAAGGTTTAACAACACTAGGTTTAGAATCTTTACCAGTTTATGGATCAATCTATAATGAAAATCCGGTCAAAACACATGCCTGAAAATAAATATAAAGATGTAGCTAACAAAAAGCGACAAGAATTGTTACTACCCGTTGTTAATTCATAACGCATTTTTTAATGCTAATTGGTTCAATTAATTATCCTTATTATCGTTAAAAAATACATGTAATACTATTTTGACGCTGTTATTTTTCACGTATTTTTTTGTTTTTGGTGTTTTCTTCTTACTGGAACTTTTAATTTCTACGAATGATAATGATGTTGTGATGTTCTTTGTTCCTTTATTTGTAGCTGTCTGTTCTCCGTTTGAAACAAATTTTCTAGAATGTCATCAGTTAAAACTTTTTATGTTCTACTTATTTTTTTTCTTTGCTTTTGTCATGTGACCACAGAATTATTATATTTGTAATTATTGTATGTAACGAGATACTTTAAATGTATAAGTTACCGAAATAAACTTCTTCTTCCTCCTGAAATTAGTGTAAAAATCCATCTATTCAAACTTCGGTGTCCGATACCGGTTATTCGACAACCCTTTATTCGAATACCTGTATTATTCGAAGTAGTTCGGCGGTCCCGGTTATGAATTAATATAAATACGAACGTATCATCCGAAATGCAGTATCCGAATCCCTCTACTTTTGGAAGTAAATTTTGGCCCCGATTATACTTTCATGAAAGGATTTTCATCTATTATTCCAAGCCAGACTTATTGGCGCTGATCAACTTTCTGACCGTACCAACTTGTGAAAATTTTCTAAAACACATGTGTTTATTAAGACAATTGTGATAATTACAGTACGTTTTGCATGCTCTTTTATTACAGAATTACTTGTTTGCCAGTGACTTTTTATTAATTATTTGACGGTTAAAAGGGTTCAATTTAATAATGATAATTAAAGAATAAAAACAAGCAATTCAAAGTAAAAGAAAGCAAATTAACACTCAAACTAAATCTAAACAAAAATATTCTATCTCAAATTATTGTGTCTACGCTTACACAAGATATCCTTACATTGCTTGTATAAATTTCTATGATTAAATGTATGCACCCACCGTGTCCGATGCTGTAACTGTAAATGCTTGAAAATGACAGCCATATCATAATTGTTATGTATACTGTATTTGTGCGGCATAATTTGGTATAAAATGCAAACTTTTATAGCGATATCATAATTTCCATATCTTTTACACCGATAACTTTACCTTTTTACATATTTATTTTTGTTTAAACAAGAGACAACTGGACAGTTTAAAATGAAGTACGGGAAGACATGGACTATAATACAATACTAGCATCATTTCCATTTGATCAAATGTTGAAAATAAATATGATTATATACATTAAATCAAAGTGAATATAAACTACAAAGTTTCTAAAGATATTGTTGGATTTGTAATGTCTAAACAAATTAGATGACGCAGAATATGAAACAATTCGGACACCCATTAGTTGATCATTTTTTTTAAAATGAATATTATAAACATTTAAAATTTTATAGTGAATATAAGATACATGTACAAGTTTTCTGAAGATATTGCTGAATTTGTAATAAGGTGAAAAAGTGGTATAAGTTAAATGTGTTTCGGTCAGAGTTAAGAAGATTCCTAAAAATAGGTACATGCTTTAAATATTGTTTAATCATTTACAAAGAGTTTTCAGTGTCGCCCCAGGCCAAATTAAGGCTTCTGCAAGAATAAGAGTAATGCGATTAAGAATGTTTCTTTTCATTTGTACATGTAAGCACAAATAAGAACTGCTTAGGGCTATGTAATTTGTTTAAGCAAGCATTCGTTATCAGATGAATTTTTGGTATTGTAAAATATATATTAAAGTTAATTATTTTGGAACAA